TTAGTCTCACAGCTCAAGAGATTATGCGGGTTTTTTGACTGGACTTGTCTCGTGTTCCCCTACTTTCACGTTCCTTGCTTTTTCGTCTTTCTTGCACCTGTATTGCTGCATTTCTTTAATATGAATGATCCGAGTCAAAAATGTCCTAGTTGCAAGTCGAGCAAATATAATAATCCTCAACTAAAACTTATGGTTAATACGTGCGGTCATCCACTGTAAACACTGTTATATAAATAAGCGCTTCCTTAGATGTGAGAATTGCGTGGAGGTTCTTTTTGTCCGTGGATCCGGATTATGTGTACAATGCAAAATGCCTCTTCGGAAGGCAAATTTTCGATACCAGCTATTTGAGGATCCGCTTGTTCAAAAAGAAGTTGAACTAAGAAAAAAAATCCTTAATGAGTAATTTTGCCTTTTACATATTATTAAAGCTTTAACAAGCGGGAAGAGGATTTTGATTCTCTTGAAGAATACGATCTTTATCTTGAAAAAATTGAGCAAATAAGTAATCTAACTTGAATAAACTGTCTCAGTTTACAATTTAGTTAATGACCTTGAAATCGAAGATACAAAAAGATACGTAGAGCTTTATAAACGCGAAAATAAGGATTTAATTAAAAAGAACAGAGCTAAATTGGTACTTGCTTGCTTAACAAATTGATCGATCTCCACGATTTTAGTCCTACACAGCTGCATTCTATGCCACAGAGTTGGAAAAGGAACAGCTTGTAAAAGCAGAACTCGCTAGGGAAGAGGCTTCTGAATTAAACGAGTCTCGTCGCACGAGATTAGCAAAGCATGAAGATGCTCTAAGAAGCATTCTCCCGCCTAGTGTATTGGAATCCACCTTAACTGACAACTCTCCTGTAACACGGTACGTTATAAACTTGTATTGATTTATTGCTTCTATATATTGAATAAATCTTATTTATTTCCATGCTTTCTGTAGAAGCACCTAAGCTATTGTCTTTTCACATTTGGTCCTTATATAAGATTTTTCTAAGCCTATCTGCCATGGTTTACATCTTATGGTTCCTATTCTATGCATGACTGGAGGGCAACGTACTCACCTTACTTTATCAGGGTTATCTATATGCATGACAAATCCTAGTTAGAGCTTATTTGAACTGGAAATTTTTAAAGCCAAGATTGTTGAGTTAGTAAATGTTTAGGCACTTGAATCCTTTCCAGACGCGTTTTGCATGGCTACCTCTAAACTTTTCATCCCTAAAATGGCCCACATGAAAATACAATCTTTCATTGCTAGATACTTCAATAATAAGGAGTTTAAAGATTATTTTTGGGTAGCCTCATTATAATTAATTTACTTATCAACTTGTAAGAGCTCTCTTAGTGAAAAGGCCAGTTATAATTCTGGTGAAACTTT